AAAAAAAAAAAAAAAAAAGAGAAAAACACTAATGTTTGCCGACATAAGATGACATTAAAAAAAAGTGGAATTTTTTTCTTTACTTTTCTATACTACCAAAAAGAAAAAAAAAAATTTATCATCATTAGACTGACTGTATTGACAGCCTTCAAAGAAAGCAACATCAACAACCAGCGAAAAGAGCATTTAACATTTATTTGGCCGATTATTTTGCAAGAAAAACAAACTTTTTTTTCACGTTTCCTATAAGATAAAGTAATGTTCTAATGCAATTTTCTGTTTATTCATTTTCTACGTTTTTTTTTTCAAGAGGTGTCGATTACGGTCTCATTATGTTTTATTCATACACTTTAACTCGGTCAAGCAACTTTATTTACCAACAAACATTACCGTCATCATTGATGTATGCAAATTTACAGTTACACGAAACTGCTTTTACTTTTCTGTTTTCCATCTTTTCGGTCATCCATTTCTGATCATAAAATTTATAAAATTGATTATCTTAAGAAATAGTTCTTTTTTTTGTTACTGTTGTTTTTGCTGCCAAAACGAAACAAACATAGATGTTTTATAACAGAAAAAAAATTGAGACTAATACATAGCATTAAATTACAGCTTAGCAACAAATTTCATCGTCTGAAAGTCTAGAGTATACCTTTTGCATCACTTCCTTCAATCATCCATTGTTCTTTTTTTTTTAATTCTCTTTCTTGTTTTCAATATTTAATTGAAAGATGACGAGCGATGAACGAAGAACGAGACGAACAACACCAATGTTGTCGATACATTGAGATCTTTAAATGCACAAAAAAAAAGAAGAAAGGCAAATTTGCATATAGCAAAATGTAAGTTTGGAACAACTGTTATAGTCTGTTGTTTCCACATTCGCTATAGATACCGCAAAAATTCAGATGACAAAAGTTTGCCAGTTCTGTTCAACAGTCCTGAAAAAAAAAAACTTGGCAACTTAACAGATGTTGTGGTCTATTGTTTTTACACTGATCAAACAAACGGCAACAACGAAAACAGCAATATAAATTGTCTAACATAAACATTAACGACACTTTAAATACTTATCCTATAGTTCTTAATCTATTTTTTCTCTTTTTTTTCCGTCTACTTTCTCGTTTAAGTATCCTACTAAAAGGTTAATTTATAAAATTGTTATGGTCTGAAATAGCAAAAGGGTTAGCAGCAAAAAGAAGCAGAAATAAAAAAAAAAATAAAACAACTTACTGGAACTAAAAATACTTCTGATTCGAAGATCATTAGTTCTTCCATATTTTTTTGGTGCATTTTCCATTGTGCTCAACAAATAAGCATATTTTTCAAAATCCCTTCGTATATTTTTTGCAATCGGTACGTAAATTTCTTCTGGCGCCCGTAAACCCCATAAAAAATCGTTATGATTGAAGTCGTCTAGTTTTTCAGCCAACCTATACAGATTGAAATTCTGCTCATTATTCCTTGTCTTCAATTTGACTAGACTTGACTTGACGTTAACATAACATCAATATTATTATCAATTCCTCAAGCAACTGTGAATTTTTTTTGTCAATTTTGACCTTAAGTTTTTAGCATTTTACACACAAATGAGCATTTGCAAAAACACTGATCAAAAGTTATCTGTTCTAATAATATGCATACAGTGCTGTGTTTACTGTCAAATTAACAACCAAAATGATACGCGTAACTGACGCGTAAAACCTACTTCAAATATTTTTTGGGTAGTTGAGTTAACAAATAGCTTTCGACGTCTTTACTGGTTGCCACCCAGTCAGCATCACTATAGTAAAGATATATTGGTACCATAATGTTACTGATGTTATACGGCGGTGGATAAGGCTAAAGTATTGAAAATTCAATAAGTCTGTCTCGACAGGCTTCTGTTTTAACAGATTTCTTGATGCTACTGCATATTTCAACAGAAGACGAAAATTTTTTTTGTTGAACAAACCAGGATTTAGTTCTAATTTAACATAAAAAAAGCTGACCACGCCATAGCGTTTAAGATTAGCTTCTGGTATGTAATCGTCATATGGGATATGTTGTCCGGAGTGAACCATCTGTGCATAGTGCATCATATTTCGAGTTGAGGTGCCTGCCGGATTATGTGCCAAATAAACGCCGATTCGAGTCTGGCAGAAAATTGTTTTAGACAAACGTTAATATATGATTAAAGCGATTTAACCAGAAAACAAAATTAGTTGTTGACGGTGAGCTGATCTTTTTTCCATTGTCTCAGCCACTGTTTTATCATATTCAATTTCAAGTTGAAAAAAATTAAGAAACGTAGACAGTTTACAGATGAGGGTGAAAGTTAGTTTATTTCTGAATGGAAGTGCTAGCTAAGAGATGGAAAAGAGAGTCGATTTTAAACAAAAATTAAAAGTTCTCAAGAAATTCTTTTTTCTCGTATTGCTGTTGGCTATTCTTTGCTCTCTTTGCAGTTAGCTGAAAGATAATTATGCATTTTTTCCTTAATGTTCATTTAGAAAGTTCTTTCAAAAAATGAAGAATTTACATAGGATAAAATTGGATGTAGCAATT